TGTGTTATTATACAGTGACAAATTAACACTATTTGATGTGTGATATCATACAGTGACTAATTAGCACTATTTGATGTGTGTTATCATACAGTGACTAATTAGCACTATTTGATGTGTGATAGCATACAGTGACTAATTAGCACTATTTGATGTGTGTTATCATGCAGTGACTAATTAGCACTATTTGATGTGTGTTATCATACAGTGACTAATTAGCACTATTTGATGTGTGTTATCATACAGTGACTAATTAGCACTATTTGATGTGTGATATCATACAGTGACTAATTAGCACTATTTGATGTGTGATATCATACAGTGATTAATTAGCACTATTTGATGTGTGTTATCATACAGTGACTAATTAGCACTATTTGATGTGTGTTATCATATAGTGACTAATTAGCACTATTTGATGTGTGATATCATACAGTGACTAATTAGCACTATTTGATGTGTGATATCATACAGTGACTAATTAGCACTATTTGATGTGTGTTATCATATAGTGACTAATTAGCACTATTTGATGTGTGTTATCATACAGTGACTAATTAGCACTATTTGATGTGTGTTATCATACAGTGACTAATTAGCACTATTTGATGTGTGTTATATCATACAGTGACTAATTAGCACTATTTGATGTGTGATATCATACAGTGACTAATTAGCACTATTTGATGTGTGTTATCATACAGTGACTAATTAGCACCTAATTAGCACTATTTGATGTGTGTGACTAATTATTTGATGTGTGTTATCATACAGTGACTAATTAGCACTATTTGCTGTGTGTTATAATACAGTGACTAATTAGCACCCAATTACCACTTTTTGATGTGTGTTATCATACACTATTTGATGTGTGTTATAGCACTATTTGATGTGTACAGTGACTAATTAGCACTATTTGATGTGTGCACTATGTGATCATACAGTGACTAATTAGCACTATTTGATGTGTGTTATCATACAGTGACTAATTAGCACTATTTGATGTGTGTTATCATACAGTGACTAATTAGCACTATTTGATGTGTGTTATCATACAGTGACTAATTAGCACTATTTGATGTGTGTGATCATACAGTGACTAATTAGCACTATTTGATGTGTGTTATCATACAGTGACTAATTAGCACCTAATTAGCACTATTTAATGTGTGTTATCGTACAGCGACTAATTAGCACTATTTGATGTGTGTTATCATATAGTGACTAATTAGCACTATTTGATGTGTGTTATTGTATAGTGACTAATTAGCACTATTTGATGTGTGATATCATACAGTGACTAATTAGCACTATTTGATGTGTGTTATCATACAGTGACTAATTAGCACGTAATTAGCACTATTTGATGTGTGTTATTGTATAGTGACTAATTAGCACTATTTGATGTGTGATATCATACAGTGACTAATTCATACAGTGACTAATTAGCACTATTTGATGTGTGTTATCATACAGTGACTAATTAGCACTATTTGATGTGTGTTATCATACAGTGACTAATTAGCACTATTTGCTAATTACTATTTGATGTGTGTTATCATACAGTGACTAATTAGCACTATTTGATGTGTGTGACTAATTAGATTTGCACTATTTGATGTGTGTTATCATACAGTGACTAATTAGCACTATTTGATGTGATGTGTGTTATCTAATTACTATTTGATGTGTGACATACAGTAATTAGCACTATTTGATGTGTGTTATTGTATAGTGACTAATTAGCACTATTTGATGTGTGTTAGCACTATTTGATGTGTGTTATCATACAGTGACTAATTAGCACCTAATTAGCACTATTTGATGTGTGTTATCATATAGTGACTAATTAGCACTATTTGATGTGTGTTATTGTATAGTGACTAATTACCACCTAATTAACACTATTTGATGTGTGTTATCATACAGTGACTAATTAGCACTATTTGATGTGTGTGATCATACAGTGACTAATTAGCACTATTTGATGTGTGTTATCATGTGACTAATTAGCACTATTTGATGTGTGTTATCATAGTGACTAACTAATTAGCACTATTTGATGTGTGTTATCATACAGTGACTAATTAGCACTATTTGATGTGTGTTATCATATGTGTGCACTATTTGATGTGTGACAGTGACTAATTAGCACTATTTGATGTGTGTTATCATACTGTGACTAATTAGCACTATTTGATGTGTGTTATCATACAGCGACTAATTAGCACTATTTGATGTGTGTTATCATACAGCGACTAATTAGCACTATTTGATGTGTGTTATCATACAGTGACTAATTAGCACTATTTGATGTGTGATATCATACAGTGACTAATTAGCACTATTTGATGTGTGTTATCATACAGTGACTAATTAGCACCTAATTAGCACTATTTGATGTGTGTTATCATACAGTGACTAATTAGCACTATTTGATGTGTGTTATCATACAGTGACTAATTAGCACTATTTGATGTGTGTTATTGTATAGTGACTAATTAGCACTTTTTATGCATGACTAAGAATGACGCATTAATTGAGATGATTTATTACAGACCATTGGAACTGTCATTACAACTAGTACAACAAACAAGTCTAATACATACAATGATGACATGACCTACAAAGGCGAGACTAGACATCCTATTATTGTACCAATGCGAAAAATGTCTATAAAATCTGAAGGTGATAATATTAAAATTTAGTGATCTGTTACTGGAAATTTGGCAAAGCATAAGAACGTGCAGTGGTCAACAATGTTCTGTTTATAGGAGTATTAAGTCACTTTGCATCCTCAACGAATTTCTTTCGGTCACTTTTTTCTTTGAGTTTTAATTTGGTATATACAGGATTGCAATACCAATGACTTAGTATGAAGAGTGCCTTTTCAGGTTTCCTTTGTCGCAACTTAATTGCCATTTCATTGACCCTTTCCGCTGAATTGCACGCATGTGTTTGTGGTAGGTTTCCTAATGAAGGTTACACAGCACGACTTATAATGATGGCGAACTTTAACGCACTTTTCAGTGGTGATTTACGAACCTGTACATGACGTAAAATTTCTGTTATAAAGTTGTCTTTAAGATGGAATGGCTATAAACAATTTTAGATTGAAGATAATAAGCAGTTACGTATGGAAGGACAACATGGTTTCATGAACACGGGTTTAAGGATGTCTGGTTAAGACGGTATTGATTTTAGGGATTGATTTTAACACTCACAACGAACGAATAGATGACTACATATGATGTCGTAAATACGTATTTGGTAGTCTCGACAATTCAGCCACTGGCATTTGTATTGACCTGTTTTTGGTTCATGTACAACAAACATTAGTACACAGAGGTATATCAGGACGGGACTTTGGCTAAATAATAGCATATCACAGATAGTGAGAATTGTTGACATTTATATTTTTGTGTTCCCTCTGAAAGGATATTGCGTCATGGGATACGTCACTTTAAAATATAGTGGCCGGTGTTTTCCGATGAACTACAATTTTACCTATAGAATATTATACATCATCAAGCATTTACTATTAATGATAACCAAAGTATGATTTTTCACAAGTAATATCATAGAGTTTGATTTTTGACCAAGCAGGTTACATATTTGTTTGTGGTTTGATTAAATGGTACATAGGGTTTTCAGAAAAAGCACTGAATTCATTGTTTTACGTTATCACTCAGATATAAGGTTATTACCAATTTCCAAAAATCCTCACATGCTTTTAAATGCACAATAAAAATGGCAAAAGTTGTAGTTCATTTATCCGAACTGCCAAATGCACAAATGATTTAGCTGTGCGGATTCTTGTCGTAGATCGTAAGTTCGAGACTCGAGAAAGATATTTGTTTCCCTGGTTCTCCCTAAAGTTTCAGATGTTACGATACCTTTGTGTGTTTCACGGTTACCAGGACGATAAAAACATTGAAATCGAGCAGAGCTAGGAGATACATGATCAAGTAGGATACGTTTTGGGAGTTATAGGGTAGTGTCGTAAGTGATTACTCCCAGCAACACGGCGTATGTTAGGTACACGGTCACACAAAGCGAGTTCTTCTGTCCTGGAGACAGCAGGATTAAAAATACGCAAACGTTCAGAAACGCCAACAGTATTATTGATGCGATTGTTGTCAAGACCACCAATTTATGTCTTTGGTGTAGATAAAGCATGTGACTGACCAATCCACTCAGACCTGGCCACCAATTTCTGTCTTTGGTGTAGATAAAGCATGTGACTGACTAATCCACTCAGACCTGGTCACTTCCCATTCAGCATTTTCCTCAAAATGATTTATATCTAATGGTCTTTCCTTTGTCGTGAACACAGCTTTGGATGAAGTGGAATCCCAAATTACAAGAGGCAAAGAGCAGCCTTATGTATCGAAAGGACAATACGTTACATCTTACTTCACAAGTAAGTACTCTCTGCTGGAAACCATGTAATATTCCCATTGACCGTCCAGCGTTCGACGGCAACTTGAAAGTGATTCTCCCAAACGTGTTTATAACGGCAATGTTTGGGACCCATGAAGAATTTTCAGCGTCATTTACACAATATCAAAATCAGACGTATTTCGTGTTAACGCTTCTTCTTTCCATCGAATATCAAACCAGACTGCATTTACAAGTTTCAGTGATTTTTCATCGAATTCGTTTATTGATTTCAAGACAAAAGTCATGTTGACAGCTATCATGTCACATTTAAAACAGACCGGACTCGTGCGTCGTAACCGTTAAAAAATTGTACGTAAACATTTTGTCACGTCTTCGAATGCTAATAATAAAACGGACTTGACGAAAACCATTCCGAAACCGTCAAACAGTTTTGTTATCACTTGATAAATAATGACGTAAAAATAGGTTCGAGGGGCGAAGCGGGAACTTGTCTCTCTTAAGACGAAGTTTGTGTATAGGATAGGATAAACACTATGGTAGTAATTGTAAAACGTATTGTAATATCACTTTGAAATATGGGTGATCGTGGAGTGAAAAGCTTATGGAAAGTATATCGCAGAACCGATCACTGACGTCATAATAGTCACTATAACCAGGAACAAGAAGAACATAGGCACGTCGAGTCTCGGCATTATGTCCTTTACACAGACCTGGGAATCTCTTTCATTTATTTCGTCCAATATTTCAGTTCTGTTTTCATTCATGTCATCTGAACTATTGCTGTCTAAATGGCTTATTTTGGATCGCTCCCGGGGAGTACATGGAGTACATGAGCCAAAGACTCTAGAAATGCATGCTGGTACCGGAGTATCTCCATATTCAATGAAAAGTCGAACTTGTATGACGGTAATCAGTACAATGGTCACACTGAAAATTAGCAGAGCGAGCAAATACATGGTCAGGTAGGACACGTTTTTGGAGTTATGTGGCAGCTCCGCTGTGATTACTCCCAGAAACACGGCATACGAAAGGTACACGGTCACACAGAACGAGTTCTTCTCTCCTGATGAAAGTGGGATGAGGAACACACAGACGTTTAAAAACGCGAGCAGGATTACTGGTGCAATGATCGTTATGGTCACAAATTTAGGTCTCCGCTGCAGATAAAATATATAATTCACAAAAGCATTGATCTTTTCATAATCGGATTGCGAATCTAGGATTTCAGGGGTTAGCAATTCCCATTCAACATTCTCCTCAAAAAACTTTGTATCTATTGGTAGTATTGATGTCACAAGCATAACTTCAGAGGGAGGGGCGTCCCAGAGTTCAAAAAGCAAGGAACAGCTTTGTGTATCGAAAGGATAGTACGTTATATCCACTTCACAATTTACGACAAAACTGTCTGAAGGAAACCAATGAATAGTTCCGTCGGCGCTGATCATAGCGTTAGACGGCAACCGTGAAAGTAAATTTATCCTTCCAAATGTGTTCGTAAGGGCAATGTTCGGAAGCCATATTGAATCTCCATCTACATGTACATACGATACATTACCAAAATCAGATATATTCCATACCAAAGATTCGTCTCTCCAGGTAACATCAAACCAACCCGCGATGACAAGTTTCTGTAACTTTTCATCGAATTCGTTTATAGAATTCATAGAGAGTCCCACCTCTACAACTAACACATTACTCTGATCTAAAACTGGCCGAACCCGCTTGTCATAACCATGGAATATATATGTGTAGACATTTTTCACGTCTTCCAATGTCGGTGATGAAAGTGTTCCTCTTGTAATTAATAACAACAGGAAACAGGTCAACATGGCGTCCGCTGACGTCATATCCGTTGTATTTCTCTACACTATTGTACCAGAGCTGTCGTCTCTCGTCTTGAAGTTCCTGTAATGAATATAAACAAAAAGATACGAAAACAAATTACAATGAACGTATTCTAAAACAACCTACGAAATGTTGCAGAACGTATACATGAGAAGGTTCCTATATACATTGTTTACCTATGTTCATACGTTTACATTATTATATAAGAATTGCGTATTTATGCTCAAATTAATCAGGTGGTATTTACACTTTATACTAACAAAGCTCAAATTCAGTGTCGTGTAACGCAGTCAAAAATAACAACAAACTACGGGTCTTAATTTAAATTAATAAGATTAAATAAAATACTGTAAAAATAATCAATAAATATTTCCGTGAAGACACAAGAGAATATAAACAAGTGTTCCGGAAGAGTAAGCGTCTTCTGCGTCATCAACGAACAACGCAATGTAAACATCGGTAAATAAAATTATGTAAATCACGTCCAAAATGAGAATAGGATGAACTACAATGCAACAGACTAGTATTAAACACGGGGGGAATCGTATCGCATGATTCTACTGCTCTAGTTGATATGTTTCTTGTTTCTTTCTTTCTGATATTCGTGTTAGTTAGGATTAATATTACCGATATTTTGAGCTGATGGCCTACAAACAGTTGCCTTCCGTCATCGTCACATCGTCTAACGTATTTCTAAGCTTGATGCCATGGTGGATCAGTTCTAAATATAACAACATGATCCTGTTATTAGCGGAATATTTTGGTGGTTAAACTAACTAAAGGAAAACTGTGATAAATATATAATGATCTTCTGATTACAATCTCTACACTGGATATCAAGATAAATTGTACAAAGACTGAAACTTACCTTCTCTGTCTGAAAATAATCATGGAATGAAGCCTCATTTTTAGTATCAATTGTTTAAAAAATACAGGATATCGTGCATTATATTGAACTACATTATAGAACATATTGTAAATAGGAAAGCTCTCTTTGTGAACAATAGCTCCATTAATTGTTTAAACAAATCCACATCTCAATCCTGTTCCATAACGAATGCATCTAATACGTTTGCGTTGGAATAGTTCATCGATGACCGTGTTAAAAGTTGAATGTCCTTCAATGACTTCAAAGATAAAAAATTGTGTGAAAAGCATAAACATTTTGTCGGCTTATTTACATGAATACAATTTCAACAGAATAAAACCACGATTGATACGAAACATGAAACGCAGATGTTTGGTATACGTACA